GACCGTGCTTTGTGGCATTACTTGGAGGAGGCCTATGTTCAGCAGTGGGCTTGTGAAGGGCTGTAATGATGATGACGAAGCGGAGTATGATTAACGTAAGAACTATCCAAAAACAAAAAGAAGATAAAACTATTTTGTTAAGCTACTCGTAATTCGGTTCTATGAAACGACAAGTTTATCAAATAATTGAGATTTATTATTGTGATTTTAGGTATATCTACTACAAATGTTCATCATTTAAATAAAAGGTTACTTTGATAATGTCTCTATTTTATTTAAATAATTACGGCTACGTCCAATAACTACATGGTAAATAATTTGGTATGGACTGGATGCGTGTGGTAGGTGCATGGTTTTTCATGTTACCCTGGTTGGGACCTTAAATGTCCCGAAAGAAAGAAAGAAAGGCCTAAGAAAAAAGTGATTTAGTTAATATTGATAGCAGCTGATACGAAATTTTCAAGTATCTAATTATTTTATTTAGCCTCTCGCATGTCGGGGTCATTTTGGCCAATATGGCGCATCTGTCGAGCACTTTCCGAAGTACTAAGTAAGCATATAACAAGTATACTAAGTATATATACATACACTAAGTAAGTATATTAAAATCCTATATCAATGGAAACGTTATTAAATAAGCTATCAGATTATGCATAACAGATATATATGTTATATATATGTATGTATATATATATCATATATATGTTACAAATAGTTTGCTATCACTCGACGCCATATTCGACAGACATTTAAATCAGTTAAAGTCATCAGTATTTTTAATTTAGTTATTCAATGTGTCATTAGCCTTTTACGTCGTTGATCCCATAAATAATTACGGAAAATTTACTTTAAATAAATTGTGGTTAACTTAGTAAATTATCTGATTACCCCTTAAGTCCTTGTACTGGACATATGCAAATGGAAAATATGTCCTTGAAGTAATTTTACTTCATCGACATAGCAGTATAAAAAAAGAAATTTTATCTACTCCAATTTCTTATGTTATGTGTTATCAGTACGTTTAAATGACAAAGGAAGTTTTCTTGGGGGCGTTTAAGTAAATTTAACTTACTCTGAAATGAGTTCATATTACTTATCCACCACTTATTTCCCAAAAGAGCCTTCAGAGTATCATACAGGATATGAATAAATAAAAAAATGGAAAAGGTTTACATATCAAGTTATTTGATTGAAATCGGACGATAAATTAAAAAGATACGAATTTTTTTGTTTAAAAAATAAATAAATATGGCTTTTTCTCGAAATGGCTTTTTGGTGCTCCAGTAATTTTGCCTTTCCAGTGACGATATACTTAGGTAATTTAATCAATATACTACATCCACTCCGATCCGGTACAAACTGCAAAATTATATTAATACGTCAACACGAAAATTACATGTACCTTTATATATTTATTTTACACACTCTAACATCCTATTTTACACCCACAGGGATTGAATTTTCTAAAATCCTGGTTCCTTTTTCTATAGGGTGTTTATTTCGAGAAAGGAGTATATATGGAGATAGGAGAATTCCTGATGAGTGAGTAATTCAGTGGTAGGTATTTTCCTGTATATAAAAATCAATTGCTGACCGTTAGTTGCTAGCGTTAAAACTCCAAAGTGGCTCGACCAATTGTAATGAAATGGTTTGAGTGTGTAACCGTCGGGGCGGATCGACGGGGTCGATCGGGGACCATATATATATATATATATATATATATATATAATATCAGGAGAGGAATGAAATTTATTTCTCTTTTAGAAGAAAACCGTGAAAGTGAGTATGATGCCGTTTAGGCAAGTAAAATAAAGCATCATGGGTATGACATGATATTTTCCATTGAAAACGCTTCAACTAACTATTAAAAAAATAAATGTTCGAATTTCTCTATGGTAGGTGATTTCTGGTATATCTGGTAACGTGGATAGTATGGTGGATATTCTGGTGATATCTGGTAACTATCCGGTATTTGGCCTATCCGGCCTATAATTACTATCCGGCCGGATACCGGATTAAAAAAAACGCAAAATATCAAATTTAGTTAAGTACTTCATTTATATCACTTAACAAATATATAATCAGTAATCACAAAATTTTCATTTAAAAGCTTACAAAATTAGTACTCGTACTGCGCTAAGGCACAAAATAAATAATAGTGCTACGTAGATAAGGGTAAATTATGTTGACTAAATACTAATTTCTCTACATTGAAAGTAACAAGCGGTTTCGTCTTCATAAACAAGGATAGCTTCAGAAATAAGTCTTTCGCTGTACACACTGCTGCAGGGTGCTGAAAGATACTTTGAATTTGGGTATTGTGTAGCAATAACTGCCCATCAAATATAAGGGTCACGATCGCGAACAGTTTGCACTGACTTTATTTTTCGTTTCTTGCATTACACCAAACGGAAATTTTCGGCGGTATATCCGACTATCCGGTGATAAGACTGGTCGAATATCCGGCATACGGCCAAACAGCTGTCCGTTTCATATCTAATAATTACTTCCTACTCTGAATGATGCGTCGTAATTTTGCTGCAATGCAAACTTCTGCAAACGTTTAAAGCGATGCCGAAACACACACTCACGCCTGCATCTTGAGCCCCTAAAAGTTAAAGCATCATGTCGTCGGTTGCAAATGATTTTAGATTCATAAGGTGTACGTGACTGCGAAGTTCTTACAATAAGATGCGTATGGTTAAGCACATGAGCAGAAGTTTCGTCGTTACTTGAAATGTTAGTACGTAGCGCTTCGTCTATATTTTCTTTTAGGATGAGGATAATGTACCTTTATCATCATCATCACCATTACAGCCCATCACGAGTACATTGCTGAACACAGACCTTCCCCAGGAATGCTGCAATGCACGGTTTTGATTTTAAACTTTCCTGCATTTCTTACAAGGTTGTCACTTCATCTTGTATGAGTCTGCCTTAAACTTCGCACACCGGTATAGGCTGCTACTCGAGAACCTTTCTTCCCCATCGGATGTCTTTTCATCAAGATATATCGCCAGACTATTCCTGCTACAGGTTACTGATCCCTTGGACTTTTCGGTCACTCTGGATCTGTTACAGATCTCCTCATTACGAAGTCTATCACGCAAAGACATTACGAGCATAGTCCTCTCTAAATCGCAGTTTTGTTTTAGTTTTTAATTGATCATGCAATACTTACTTATATTTGAAAAAATAAGGGGAAGGAATCGTTTACTATTAATAAAATTAACGAGTAAAATAAAAATTTAACTCGATAATCAAAAGTACATATACTTAAGCAACAGCAACCAAAGGCCAAAGTAGGTATGATGTTTTATTATGTTTTATTTGACGAGTTACTGTTCAATCGTTTTTGGTGTTATCTTGGTATTACCCAATGCAGATACGCAAAAATAAAGGTTCATCCAACGATACTATATTTTTAAAATCTCCTAATAAGAGTAATGAGGAAGCAGATAAAAGTACATCCGAGTAAAAAAAGATTCTTTAATTAGTATTTCTTATTAAGTAATTCCCGGGAAATAATTGTAACATTAATAATAGATAGTAACATTATAAAAACAAAACAAAAACAACTGCTTAAAAGTAATGAACTGAAAACATAGGTGTAACTTGTAATATATTTCATTAATCTCCTTTTTATTTCCTTAATTTTGATACCCCTATCGATAGGTTGAGTAAAAAAATTAAGGATTTACAATTTGGCGCCAAAAATCCGTCATATTGATTTTAAAAAACCTATATAAGAACACACGGGTGTTTGAGACGAATCACACGAAAGAGTCTTTTTCTAAATAAGCGCCACATTATCGATAATAAGTATAGTGCGCAGCACTACGTCAAGCTGCCATCTTTGTACCAGACTCAGTTTAGGTATACACGTTCCATAGATTACTGTGTATATACCAAGGAGGTCATAAATAAATATATAGGGAGTGCGCACTTCATACTAGAAAAACGGTCCTAAATCGGTGACCTTGATATGAATGAAAGGCACCGAGTTAGGCATTCCGTTTCTTTCTAATGGAGTGTCCATGATACAATATTTTGAGGATATTAATAGTATGTACTTACAGAGTTACAGAAAACGGAATGCGTATTTTTTCAATATGGAAAGCGCTGAAGTGTTATAATTAAACCCCGTTTATTATTTTGATTATAATATTGCTTCGCTACGGTATCAAACCTTACGGTAACCTTAGCGATCAAACAAATCACACTCAACCAAGCATACTTATTAATAGAATTTAAGCTTATATGAAACTCAATTTCTTCTCAGTCACGATGTTTGCCTAATAGGTGGCTAGGTTTGAACCCATCTTTACCACACCAGTTTCACCACAGGAGCCAACATGTCACATGGGCTTCCTGGTTAGCCGAAATAAATTTTTAAGGGTAAAAAAAAACAACGAGTTTTATTATTTTTTTTATTAAAAGATTTATAGGTTACTAAACAAAATGGTTTTATGTAATTTTTGTCGGGATACATTCTTGGAATCCCGCAATTTCATGGTCCTAGACCTTTGATGGTGCTTTATCTTCATGTTCAGGAAACTTATCACTATAGATTTTAGCAATTGAATATTATGCAAGTCTCCGCAATCAATACCCTGGCTTAGAGAATGTGGAAACATAGATGAAATTTTATCAGAAAAATGCTGCATGACTATTTGTATGATCCTTTTTTTATAGTGCTGTTTCATAGAGTTTAAATCTATTTGTTTACATGTTCTTTCGGTGAACTTTACCACTTGGAACACAGATTGTGATGGAAAAAATAGCATGCCTCTATTTACAAAAGCAGTAAACGCTGAATGCTTATTAACATCAATTGTGTATAAGTGGTCAACATTTTTACCTATGTCTTTTAACAAATTTTGACATTCTTCACATGTTATTTTACTGTGGAGATTCTTAACAATACAACCGGTTATATAATATAATATATTATTTTGATAACTGGAAAGCGAGACATTGTTTATCAATGAAATGTAATGTCAAATAAATGTTTCACTTTCATTCTCTTGTTCAATCGACTCTAATTGCATTGCACGTTGAGGAGACCTAAACTCTAAAATTGGAGTTAATTCATAGTCACTATCGTAAGTATTGCTATTTACGCTTGGCATTACACTATTTTTGAAAAGTAATTTACGTAATGTGTATTTCAGTTGCAATGCATTTGGATTGTCATTGCCACCACCTCGGGCCCTTATGCAGGAAAATAACATCTCAATATGATCTTGTGAGCACTTATAAGTTAAAAAATATTTCATAGGATCCATGGTACGTGTCAGTAAATCTTTCGCCAAATTTGAAAAGCTTATCGTATTCACATAAAAACCTAAAGCGAATGTTTTTCTACGATGTTGCATTATACTTTGACCCTCAATTGTTAAATTAAGCAAGAAATTACGTATTTCTTCAAAAACAGGTTCCCAGAAGGTTATATTTTTCAAGGTTAGTGGAGCTTTCAATCCCTTCCCTATTGGATTTTTGCCGTTCATCAAATCAAAAGCTTTGTCTAAATGTCGGATATAATCAACAGTAGCTTCACTATTTTGAAATTTTTTTGTTTCCGCTGACCCTTAAAAAATCAATCGAGTCAGCTACAGAGACGCTTATCAACTGGCTAGCTAATTTTACATTCATTTTATTCCCCCAAAAGTTAACATGTGTATTTGTTAATTTGTTTGCAAACCTAAAACCTTCAGACTCTTGTAATTTATTTAAAGCTTTAATATATTCAAATGATATAATGCCTAAATTAGATTTCATAGGGAATTCACCTAAAGTGTTTCGAGCAAGTTTCAGCATATGAGATGGGTCAAATATACAATGCACCTCAGTTACTCCATCAGGATGTTTAAAATTTGACTTAATATTAGGAACATCAAAAACGCACCCGAGCTGTTCAAATGTTCTTAGATTTACCACAGTACCATCACATGTTATCGAATGAACGATTATGTTGATATCATGCAACATTTTTATAGCTGTATGAACTAACTGCGACTGGATAGTAGCTGTTATTTTGTTTATTAAAAAGTAGCCTATACAGCATTTGAACCTACTTGTGTAAGACACAATTTGAAAAATTAAAGATTCTTTTGCCACCTCATAGGAATCTACATTTTCAATTCCACCCAAATCAACATAACTCCAAGTTTTATCTGAGTTTTTCTCATACACGAGCTCCGATTTAATAGCCATTGAGTCAAAAATCAGGGCAACATGAATTAAAGCGGGATTCGTTTGGACATTTAATTTTAAAAATTCAAAAAACTTCCTTAAGGAAACCGACATTACACTCTGCAGAAGAAAGCATCTTGCGAATTGTAGCAGGATGTGGCAAATTAATGCATGTGCGCAAGAATCTGTATGCCCGTGGAGAATAGTAATTAAGAGTTAGAGCAAACTGCTTAAGTTCCTTGCTATATCTTACACCTGGTGATATCTTAGATTTATTTTTAGGTTTAAATTCTGAATAAATATTGCAAAAATGATCTCTAATGATACTCTCAATATCTTCATAATGCATAGTCCTTTTTTTCACTACACTAAGAAGATTTTTCATCGACGTAATCTTCAAATCTCTGCGTTTTAATTTTTGTTTAAGAATTTTAACTTCTCTTTTTATTTGACTATTTTCTTTACCTCTTGATGTTTGTACATACTTATGCGCGACACATTTCCTTTTATTTGATTGGGGAATATTGAGTGAAGGGCTCAAATCAGACAATGGTCGCTTTCTTAACGTGATTTCCTGAGAAGATGTATTTGGCACTGACTCGTAACACATATCAATTTTCATTGAATTAGCTGGAACATCTTGGTGAGCCATGATGTTTGGTGGTTTTATGTGAATATTACTGATCACCTTCACAGTTTCCATGGGCATCTAAAATAATATGAATTGTTAAATTACACTTCAAGAATTAAATTAGTATAATTTAATGGAATAGTAATATCATTTAATGTAATAGAAACATAAGTAATTAACCAGGACTAGAAGTTGTTAATTATTTATTTATGCTTATAGCGCAGTTATGGAATAACATATTATGTCCAGCAGAGAGAAAAATGGAATTAATTGATTGATGATGCAAGAAAACTAGAAAGAAAAATTATCATAATTTTAGCTCGGGTTAAATATTGTACAATGAATTTCAAACTTTGTTCTTCTATTTTTTTATTAATCTATGCCACATTGTTGCTTCAACTGTAGTTACTATAATTTATAAGAAGTATTATGACATTTATATTAAAATTAATACATACCGTTACTAGAACTGATGGCACTGCATTGGCTGTTAAGCGCTTTCTGGCTCCTTGGATAACAAAATCCTGACTTTTGAAATGGTTAGAGCAAACTTTTTTGTATTTAGTAGATCCTTTTACCGAAACTACTTTGAGCCATGCTTTCAGTGCATCTTCCTTCACCGGGAAACTTAAACAAATATAGATATATAATAATAATTATGAAAATAAATGCTTCCAGCTTATTGTCTCGTATTTCTTAACATGAGAGTACCCAACTTCCTTGAAGGGATTGAGATAAAGAAAGACGTGACATTCATATTATAAATCATTTTATTAACTGTGACTTCATCAAATAATAGAAATTAAAAAAAAAAAAAATATCTATAATGCCGCAGGTAATTGAAATCAGGACTAGATTACATTTTAATTAGGCCAAGGTCCTTCTCACGCATCTTATACTACTCACTAAAAAAAAAATTACTTTTGGATCGTAGCAGTTGGCACTCTGTGGTCTCTGCCTACCGCCATGGGAAAAAGGCGTGAGTTTTGGTTTATGTATGTATGTAACACTTTTTCTTCAATTGTGTTATTCATATTCAAAGTTATTGTTTTTATTCTTATTATTGGTCACTTTACCAACAAAACATTCTATATAATTTTCTTTGAAATATACGAAACGGTAGCAAAATATATATCTGAGAATAACAGGAGAGATCCATAATCAAAATTGAAAAATAGCTGTATTCACGAAATTCAGACTTAAAAACAATATTAAAACTACGAAAGTGTGAACATATCACAATATACTCTATAAATTTTTCTTACCTATGGAATGACAAACCACATCCAGGGTAACTTTCACTTCTACAACCTTTCACACAACACGAAAATACCATTTTCACTAGAAAACCCGAAAAGTTCTGCAATATTAATTAAATCAATTAAATCACATTCGCTGATGACAAGTCAAACAGAGAATAGAAGCCAATAGCGCCATATTTATGCATTTAACAACGTCAAATTTTAAAATAGGTTTGTCATCTATAGCATAAAATGCACCCCATAGTTTTCAGGGAAAGTACATTCGTGTTTTAATGTTTTTTTTTCGTGTAACTTAATAATATGGTTAATTGGAATACAATATGGAATGTACCAATTATAATATGCGATAAATGTAAGATTCTTTCAAGCATACGTCTAAAATACTACTTTAACTCAATAACTGCCTAAATGTTAACATTTATTAATGCTAGAAGGAGATATAATACCAAACTCGGTGCCTCTCTATCTAAGGAAAATGAAGAACGGTTACAATGTTCCAAGCGCTCGCTCCCTATATATTTATAACCTCCTTGGTATATACTAGCTTGCTACATATTTATTTATCTATGGTATATACTAGAGCACGTTCTTTCGTAGGCATGTCATATCCTTTCTTTCTTCTCTAGTCAAAGGTCTGTACTACTAAGAAATTCAGGACTTCATAGGAGTGATTTTTACTGACAGCTGTCGCAGAGATCAAGCTATCTTTTATGAACTATAGTGACAGTGACAGTGAAAGTGAACCCATTACAAATATTGACCCATAGAGGAAAGTATATCGTACGTATTGACCCCACCGTTTGACAGTGTTTCTGAAGAATATGAAATATTATCTGCCTATTTACAAAATAAATACATTAACTCCACAATAGAAAAATAAAAACGAAGATCCCGAATGAAATGAAGACATGGCTTAAAAGATAAGTATCCAATTCAGAAATCTTAATAAAAAAACTTTGTTGTCATACAAATTAAAATTATACTACATTTTTTTTAATATTGAAAGTATATTGTGGTGTACACAAATTGTATGTTAAGTATATTGTTTTAAATATAATGATATAATAAATCAAATGAAAGTGTTGCTTAAAATTTTTAATGATCTTTTCAATAATTATTTGTGTTTTTTATTATTTTCCAGGTCGATATTCGATATTCTTTATTTAATATTATTCTTCTCGTCGACATGGCGGGACAGGGTCACCAGTTTCCAGGCAATTTTCAAAGTAATGCTGGTGCTATGAGGACCGGCTATGGTGGTGGGCCTATGGGAGGTCAAATGCAAGCAATGCCTAACCAGTTAACAGGTAACTCATTTTTTTATGAAATATCAGGCCCACTAGTCAATCATACTGCATGGAACCTGACGGAAAATTGTAATTTCTAGTCATTTTAGGTTAGGAAAATAGTGAGTTATCATTCTACTTTATTATTTTCAGGTGTAATGGCAGGTCCTATGGGTAATGCAGCCATGGTTGGTATGGGAAGTCAGATGGTGCCACCATACGGAGCTGCTATGCAAAACCAAATGAGTAATATGGCAATGGGGCCTCAAGTGAGTATTTGTATAAGTTTTTCTCGCATCAAAATCCCAAATTCAAATGATGTTTATGTTAATTTAACTTTATCATAGGAATACTGTTATTAAAAATAATTGCCTCTAAATGAGATTTATTTTATATTTCTAAACAATTTCTAATTCGTATATACCATACCATACTACATGATGTATATAATTTAGGCATATTATTGATATTATAAGGGCCAGAAGTTATGATAATTAGGTGCACATAAAAATCCAAAAAATTTTTACTTGCTGTATGCACCAAAAAAGCATGAAAAATCATATAAATAGGCTATGATTCCCAGAAGGTACATTCATTTGAATATGAATCATTGAATACATAACATCAAAATAAAGAAATTAAAGCTGTCAGTACTTCTGTTTAAAAAAAATCATCCAAAGACATACACAGTGACTTGGTGGAAACATTGCACATTGTTCCTCCAGTTTGTTCCTCCATATTCCACAGTTGCAAGCTGGGCAGCAGAACATTTATGGAATCCATAATGTGAAAAAAGTTAAATGCAGATTGAAGAGTGACCATCAGGCATATAGCTGAGGTCACCCGGATCTTATATGGCAGTGTTCAAAGAATCTTTGCAAACAAATGGCATATGAAAATAGTTTCTGAGCATTGGGTACCTAGAATGTTAATCGACAAGCAAAAGAAGAAATTCTTAAAATAAAAAAACTTAAAATATTTAAAACTACAGTTGCCAATCTGCCTTCCAAGCGTGGCAACTATGGCAAATATATATCTCTGAATATTTCAAGGAGATGCCCCAGCGCTACTTCGATAGCGCCGAAACCCATCCAAACCCGCTAGTGGCAAACGCAGCCAACTACATCCTAATATCAAACATTGCGCCGACTCTCTGTAGACTGCATAACGTACTTATAGAACCACAATGTTCGCTAGATTGCGTCGACTCAAACAACATGGTCCTTCACTGCTGGCCATATGAGGACGCTCAAGGTCGCTCAGCGAGCTATGGAGAGGGCTATGCTCGGAGTTTCTCTGCGTGATAGACTCATAAATGAACATATCCGTAGTAAAGCCAGAGTAACCGACATAGCCCAACGGATTAGTAAGCTGAAGTGGCAAAGGGCCGGCCATATAGCTCGAAGAACCGATAACCGATGGGGAAGAAAGGTTCTCGAGTGGCAGCCTCGTACCGGTAGGCGTAGTGTAGGGCGACCCCCCCACTAGATGGAGTGACGACCTGGTAATATATGCAGGAAGTCGATGGATGCAGGTGGCTCAGGACCGTGCTTTGTGGCATTATCTGGGGGAGGTCTAAGTTCAGCAGTGTACTTGTGAAGGGCTGTAATGATGATGAATGATGAAATGTCGAAGGAACTTCAGACACAGACACTACACCCACACCAAATGGAACAAGCATCAATAGGATAACGGATGGGGCGCGTCACACCCGTAAGCGGACACGACACGTTTCAACACACATCGCGTAGACACCGTACACCTCCATGCCTGGGTGGCTTTCACCACCCAGAGGCGTGAGTCAGAGGCAGGGGTTCGCACTCCCCTATACAGCAACGCTTAGATAGCTCAAGGACCACTACAGAGGCGACATGATGATTGGTAATAATACTAAATCATAAATATCATCATCATCCTCATCACCATTGCTTTTACATTTTTAATCAGCTCGCAGCCTGAAAGGCCCTGAATTAGATGAAGCTGTAAGAGCCGTGTAGGCTAACAGCACCAACATCACAGAAAATAGATGGCAAATATCACCCACCCCCAGTGAAGAAATGTATATAAGCAGCCTATGATCAGTAGTGAACTTTTGATATGTTGTAATGATATGAATGGTGATTAATGAATGTAATAAAAAATATTGTGCTTATGTCTGACAGCAACACATAATTTACATTATTATATTATATATCAGTAATAATTATTAAAAAAAATAAAAACCATTTGTATAATTAACATAATTTTCTGTTTTCAGGGCATGGGGGTGGGAGTTGCAGGGGGCCCTGGTCCTGGAATGGGTCCACAAGTTGTCCAACAGCCAGGTTTAGAACTTATATTTTGCTTTAAATTTTCTTCACCAATCCATGTCCAATTTAACACTTGAGCAATGACATATGATTTAGGCTTGAATGCAATTTTAGAATAAACACAAATAAACAAAAAACAAGAAAATTTTTGAATGAAACTATATTTACGGATTTTATGGGGTTTAATTTTATTTTTATATATAGGGCATGCAAAAAGATCATTAGGTAAAACCCCCGTAAAAGAACTTATAACTGACGTTAAACACTAACGCTCCTGGAAGTCTGCAATTTGTGATCATGTTCATGAAGGCACATCAGATTTTAGACCAGAAATCCTCATGAAAGAACCACAATTCCTATCAAGGGTGATACTGATTTTTATTCAATATAGATTATTACATAATACTTATTGAAAGTCATTTTTTATGCTTATGGTTCGGAAAATACCTGCGTCCTAGGATGAACCAGCAAGAAACCCAGTGGGTCTTTTTATTAAACATATTTCACTTTACAATTATTTCGTATGTACAATTTTTAATTAATTTTAATAGAACCTGCATGGTAGCGATCCCCTCATTCCCAGGGGTTATTTTCTTTTATTCTTTGACATTTAAACTTGTTTTTTGACATGTTTTGTACATTTTCTCGGATTTTGTTGTAAAAGCGTATACATTACAGCCCCATACAAGAACTACTAATTCTGTGGAGTCTAGTAACTGATATTACAAGCTTACGTTTGTTCTTCGTGTTTTTATTCTTATCAAACATTTTATTCTTATCAAAGCTATTTATGTTTTTATGTACATACATTACTTTTTATTAATAAATTACGATGGCATGCGACAGAGACAGTGGCTGGGACTTAGAATTCTGTAAATAATAAAATTAAAATTAAACCCAAGCATACCACTACAAGATTTCAAGACACAGTAAGCTTAAAGATTCGTACATGCGTAAATTGGACTAAAATTATAAATTAAAAACCTGATGGTACTCTGGGTTAATTTTGACATCGCGACGTCAATAACCTTATTCCCCCCATCACCATGAGTGCTGCATAGCACTTAATTTTTTACGTGGTAGAGCCACATTGCAGCTATATTATGGTTGTAGCACGAATGGGTCGGCTCGACCGGGGAAGGACCACGCTCTCACAGAATATCAGAGTAAAATAGCAGCGTAATACTGCTGTGTTTCGTTTGGTGACACGAGGCATTCCACCTTAGTCCTCAGGGGTGACAGCGCATCTGCGTTTTGATTTTTGATCGAGAATAAATGTAGATGTCTATGAGTCACAGCATCCACTTAACATCAGGTGGACAGTGTGATCGTATTTCACCCTTATTCTATACAAAAAATTAGTCAGGAATCAAAAATAAGTAAAATTAAACGAGATAAAGGCCTATAACTTAAATTAAAAACTTTAAAACCCCCGAAACAAAAAAGCTGATGATCTTCAACTGGCTGAACCGATTATGA